CGGGTTTCGGCACCAGTTAAGCGTCTCCGGGCTTTAAAAATAAAAAAAAAGAAGGAAAGAGGAACGAGAAACAATACTCACGGCTTCGGAATAAACACTGCTTTATTCGTCCAATAATCTGCCTTATATACAATCGCTATGTTTATTTACATTACAAGATGGTATTAAGGCTGATATCGCCAGTCTCCGGTCTTTATCTTATATATATATATATATATATATATATATATATATATATATATATATATATATATATAAATGAATGTATGTCTGTCTGTCCGTCTGTTTGTCCTTAGTGCATTACTAAACCATTCAACCGATCGCCATGAAACTTTGGGAAGTTGTTCCGTTCACTCCTGGGAAGGTTTCTGGCATAGTACTTCTGTATTACGATAATTTTATATATGTAAAAAAAATAACAATGTAAATGTTTTTCTGTTTAAAGCCGCAACTGAATCACTGACAAAATAAAAAAAAAGTCATCGAAATCGGATGGTTCGTTGCAGAGTTATTGAGTTTTAAACATTTAATGCTTTCTCTTCAGAAAAGGCTGTTTCCTTTTGCTTCCTCACTACCGAACGTCGGCAAGCATTTTTTTTTATTGATTAATCAAAAATTTTATAATTACTAGAGTAATTGAAATTACCATTTGATGAAATTAAATGATTCTCCTTATGTAGGTCAATACAATTATACGTTTTTTTAAATTAATTTTTTAATTTAGTTTGACAAGTTCAACTCAGACTGTTTCTGATGATTATGAATGACGGCGTATTCACTCAGATGATTATGAATGTTCAATTTGAATCATGAGAAAAAAGATCATTAGAATCAGTTTAAATTGAAGCCATTTTACAGACAAATTAGTTTCCCAACTTTTTAAAAATGACAGATGTCCTTTGCTACTACTCTAATCATATGTGCTTTCTATTTTCTTTTTTTTTCATTTTGCCAGGCTAAACCACAGCAGCGCGTGGCCGCTTAAAGCTAGTTTTTTTTTATTAATCGCCTCTGCCGTTGGCTATTAGGCCATTCGGCTCCTGGCAGCCCAATACAACTCCACCATGAATCCTTTTCCATACATCTAACTGTACAGCCTCCAAATTATCATTCTCTTCCATCTTCTTTTTAATTGAAAAGGTTACCTTGAGGGATGATTTAGCAGCGACAATTATTCCTGATGGAACCTGCCTGGATCTCTGCAGTTTATAAGTTTAATATCCCCGTAATTGGTAGAACTGGATATTTTCAGTGGATGAGCCGGCTTCTACGATCCCATATAGATCAGCATCCTCCTTTTTAATAATCGTCTTCAATTCTGTGAATTTGTCAGCAGTTAGGCCACCAGCGTTCCAGAACATAGCCTTAAGCTGTGTGTTGACTGGGCCTTTTGGTTTCCTTAATTTTGATGGATTCATATTTTTGTGGATTCTATGATGTTGAACTGTCTTCGAGGCGACAATATTGCTCATTTAGTTATAACCGGAGGGCACCTGTACAATGTACGGATGCGAGCAAAGTTACCCAATTTTTATTAAAGCTTTTTAGTTTATAAAAGGCTAATATATATATACATATGTACACAAAAGTAAATCAAAAATATAAATAAAAGTAAAATAAACATCTTAAATACAATCATAGCTATATACAATATTTACAATCAGCCACAGAAACTCCGAACCAGACTTGTACCCCTACTTGTGGAGGGAAAAGCGAGGCTTAGGAGATCCCTGCGCTTCTCCCTCAGCCACTTCACTGGTATTTAAAACCAGCGGAGGTTTATGAATATTAACTTAGAAAAAAATTAAAAAGAACGTGGTATAATTATGAGATGACTCAGTTACCATTGCAGTTATGGAAAGCTCACGTGAGAAGTTAAAGTAAATAAGACGAACTCTGGCAGTAATCCAAGAGTAAGTAGACTCTATCTAGATTATATAATTGATTCCAATGTTTTTTTTTTTATTCGGAACGTCCTTCAATTAATGTCACACGTGACTCCAGACGTCTCGTGTCGTGAGGGAGGAATCGTAATGTTGTAACTGATCTAAGGTAATTCTTAAATAATCTAAAATATTCAAGTATATGGTTGAGGTATTATTGGGTTTACAGAAACATATAATATCCTATGAACTGATGTAGAGATAATAAAATTGTTTTTGTTTTTTTTAAAGAATAAAAACATTATGAAAATGGTTTCGTTTGAGGTTAAATATTGATAATAATAATTAAAAAAAATAAACTATTAATTATTACTCAATGGTTTCACTGTTTTAGGGTCTTGGGTTCAGTACTATTTTGGGAAAGCACTGTTTCTTGGTCCACGGTTTGTGAAAGGAAGATAATTTGACAGAGATCACGCTCAACCGCCAGGTTTTTCCCCTAAATCAATTATTTTAATCAAGTTACCCACTTTATAGAGGCTGGATGTGCCTCAGGAGGGTCTATCTACCCAGGATCGCCCCACGGTTACTGAAACACAGAATATATAATTTTTGCCATGAGCCGGGGTTCGAACCTGGGACCTTTTACCTTTTGCATTAGAAGCTCAGTGCCCTACCACTGAGCTACTGCACACCCCCACACAATGGTTTATCATCTCCAAATCCACGTTTTTCATGAATTCATTCAATTTAGGATATTTCTTGTCTTACAATTTATAAATATCAATAACCTATAAAAATGAATGGCCTCACATCAAAGATGGGATATCTGTAATTTTTAAAATATGAAAAAAATTAGTATTTTGTAACATAGCTTCAATTCTAATGATTTCGTTTCATGATTCAACTTGAACTTCCCAAATAAAAATGATAGAAATAGTTTGAACTGAACCAATAAAAAAAATTTCTGGTGTGTCCACTCACACGACTTTCCTACCTATTTCAGAAAAGATTTTATATCTTTACATATGTTCATGAAGAAACAAAAAAAGAATTGAACTAGATTTATTTTCCTGAAAATTGATCAAACAAAAGATTTGAGTATGATTTATCTGATAAACTAAAACAATGTAAACCGACTTAAGGTAGATCATCGTAAAAATTTCAATACTCTCTAATATTGCTGATCAAAAACTTTTTGCTATAGCTTAGTAATTTTAAAAAATAATTTCTGTTAAAAGTAGAGGAAATAGTGAAGATTGTGTGATGCGAGCAACAGATTTTCTTACTTTCACTTAGTCTTCTTTATTCTCTCATTCACCCCTTTCTGACACCAGGATATGAACCAGTAATCTTACATAGGAAATTGAATAGCTTCAACTTCGTTAATAGTTGTCCAAAATGAACGATTTGAATATGGCTTTGTAGGGAATTTCATTACCTTTCAAACGACAGGCTAAGCGACGCTTTTTTTCGGACTCAGCTATTGCCCATGGATCACCGAATTTCTGTCACAGGCATCAGTAGTCAAAACCGTACAAAATAAAAAAAGAAGCAACAAAATCGGTTCAGTAGTTCCCGAGAAAATCTTGGCACAGACCGACAGACATACCAATGGCTAAAAATGTGTTTTTCGGACTCAGGGGGCTCTGAAACTTATATATCCGTCGAAAACCGCATATCGGAAATTTGACCCGATTGCATTACTTTCCTTACCTAGTATATGTAGGAAAGTAAAAAAGTCTGCCAAGTAAGGTCAGTATAGCTTGCTACCAAATATTTTTATTAAAAGATCTAAATTTTTTCGTATCTCTGTCACAGGCATCAGTAGTCAAAACCCTACAAAATAAAAAAAGAAGCAACAAAATCGGCTCAGTAGTTCCTGATTAAATCTTGGCACAGGTAGACTTTTTCTTATGAGAATAAAATCTCTGGGAGAGGCCGTTTTCGGAAATTCAGTAATCCCTCAACATATAAGTGTTTGATATCCACGAGTTTTGTTGATCAGCGAATACTGAAATGCAAAAGAGTTCCGCATTTGCAGATTGCATATTCGATAATTCGTGATTAAAACAAAAAAATCGAGGGCATACTGAACATGTATATCAGTCTGTTAGTGCAAAAGGTCGTATGTAAAAATTTAGTGTTTTAAAATCCGTGTTAAAAAATCCTTTTTCGTTCAAAATAGGCCCGTTTATGATCTTTTTTTTCTTAAAATTTTGTCTTGAATCACCTCCCAGAGTTTTGCCATCAAGAACTGGAACATCCAGTATACTTTTTCGTCGCGTGATGTAAACATCATTGCTGTTACTGAAAAGTAATCGGTGTACCTGTTCTATAAAATACTTAAACATTCTTCCATTTTTGTTAATTTCCAATATATAGTATTAGTATAAACAAAAATTTTATAGAACTAAATAAAGATCATAAAATCAACCATTGTAAAGCAGCTGATATCAAATCACTGGGATATCGATTGTTGTTAATAAAGATTGTATTTATTGTGTAAAAGTCCTAAAATGCTGTATTTCAGCTGTTTTTGAACAGATTTTTATTGTTTGATGCTCAATTAGACTATTTTTTATGTGGCTCAATTATTTTTATTTTATTTTTTTAATTTATTGATACTTGACCACTTGGAATTTCAAAAGAAATTCATCTATGATTTTTTTAAAACTAACCTGTAAACCCGAATTCCTAAATCTATAGATCTAGACGTTCGGGTACCATATGTTTTTTTTTATATAAAAAATGTTTTTTTCCGGATCATCATTATTTAAAATTTTAAATATCTTTTCACATTTTGGTCTATAATCTTTTATATTTAAATGGTAAAAAAATTAAATAAAACAAAACAAAGAAAGAACTTATAGTTGAGAATTCTTTTAGAGAAGTCCAGCATTTAGTTGTGAAAATTGTGCCTTTGAAGGAATTACATTGAAACCGGCTAGGAGAAGTATAAATTGGATATTCTTGAAGATAATAGTCCTGCATAAGTCTATGAAGCCTTACTACATCTATGTACATCTGGCTTAATTAACATGTGTTTTGTCAATGTATCAAGAAGGTTCTGCCATAAAAATATAAAATATTCGTTAATAAGTTTAGAGTTACAAAGTCAAAATCCTCGTTAAGTTTTACCATAGACTGGAAAAAAGCGTCGAAGCATATTAGACCCGATGAGCAAAGCTAATGCCCGACGTTTCAAGAGAAGGGTAATGAAGAAACGAGTTTATAAAGTGAGGAAGCCCAAGGACGAAGAACAGCCATCTGAAGACGTAAAGGAGAAACTGATAATCGAGAAGAAGAAGAGGAAGAAGAAAAAGATAAAGAAAATCCTCCTCGAAGAGAAGGAAGAAGAGTCATCGAGGATAATGATCACAGTTACCAGGTATGGAAGAATAAGCAGGCCTCCGCTGAGATACGTGGCGATATAGTCTCCATCTTCTGTTCCAATTAAAATATATTACTATATATATATATATACACATGATATGTTATTATATGTTAATAATTTACATTTATATTTTTAAGTAATTTTCAAACACATTAATCGAAAATATTTAACTGACGGTGGTGTTTATATTTGTAACCTCAACCTAATGTTATCACTAGTTGCTAAGGAGGATCATACATTAATTATTATATATTTATGACGCATAAAGTAAATGTGCCTTAATTATAGTAGGATTGTATATGCTTGTTTTATACACATGATTAGAACATGTGCTAACTTCTGAGCAATCAGTGATTCAATCGATGAATAAAGAAACGTGCTGAAGGCTATTCATGGTTTCATTGAAGGGTTAAGAACCTTGTCCAAACTCTTAATTTTATAACCTTTCTTACAGGTTACCTAGTTTTTGTTGGTTTCTCTTAAATCAGATGGAACATACACAAAAGTTTTCTTGTATTACATGTGTTAGGGTTCTGTCTAATGACAAAAACATCTAAGACAACTTAACCTATAGGATGCGCAAGTTGGTGCAACCTCTTTGGATCGAGAGATCGATTCTAGCCGCGTGTTGTTTTTTAATGCTAGTACAATTGTTAAACATGCTACATTGTTTTTTCTTGGTTCACTAGTTAATGAACATTAGTTATTATAATTAATGGCCTGCATGCACAGTGTAGTGAGCGCTCACAGATTACATTAGTTGTAATTTAGTAATTCATATTCAGTGTTAGTAATTGTAAAGCATTTTTTTCAGTAGTGTACAAATTTTAGTTTAGCTTTAGTTGATTTCTTGCTTTTTTTATTGGTTTCTATATTACTGTATGTGCATTCAGAGGTATGTTTTTATTTTCTAATTTTGTTTTTACCAAAACGTTTTTATTTATTAAAGATTTATTTTTGTGTAAGTAGTTTTTATTGAACGAATCCGCAGAATCCTTAAACATGTATTCCATTGATACGCTAACTGAATCCTCCAAAAGTATTGATATTTTCCGAGAGATTTTAAGAATATTGTTCACCTAAAATGATAATGAAATAAGTTTTTTATAAAGATCCCTAATACAGCAATTGGTTCGTATTTATAATTGACTAAATTATAAAGTTTTCAATCTGGAGGGAGGCAAACTTTGTCTATTTAATTAGGTGATAATAACTCGTAAATATTCATTTGCTTTCTACTTAGATCGTAAGTATAATTTAATCACAAAATCGATAAAAAAAAAAAGGTGACCTTCAAAAATATTGAGCCGTTTGACGTAACCTACACCCCAAAATTTTCAAAATAACGCTATTGATAAATACAATGCTGCAGAAATAGCCTGAAATTTTGCAGTATATATTGTTGAGGTTGGAGGTAATTTATACTTATTGGTTATCCCATTTATAATTACTGCAAATCCGACATTTTCATTCTGTTTGGATCTAAAAATAGGGTCAGATTGGTCATCAGGCATGCTGTATATTTCTCCACTGACTTCTCTTTGCCTTATACCTAATGGTGTACTTCTTTTACGATTCAGTTCATGATTTTTAACAATTTTTATGTGGAGTAAATAGTGGTATGCAGGGTTTGTTGGCTGGAGTTTGCAATATAATTGTTGATTAGTTCCTGTCTTCGAAAAAAGAGAGGAGCTATGGATGCCTCGGCATAAAGATTTTCTGTTGGACTTGAGCAATTGATAATTAATTTAATTAAATATTTTTTTAATTATTACTCATTATTCAAGAAAACAGTGTCACTTAAAAAAACACGAAGTTAAATTTTCGACTTTTCTTTCGAAAATCGGACCATTGTAGCTCTTGAGGTCGACTATTACAATTTTAAATATTAACATCTACTTACGGTACTCTCTCTATACATATTCTTTGTGTATGTGTATCTCCTCAAAATACAATTATTCATTACTATTTATATATTATATTTTCAAATCAATAGGAATAAATCGTTAGGATACAGTGAGAGGTAGAGAGGAAGGTCCTTGCAAGGAGTCCTTGAGGATTGGTCCAGATTCCTCAGGGTCGGCTAAGGACCTTTCTTTCCCACTTGCTGGTCTTCCTCCTGCACCGTTCTGTCCATCTGGGGTCAATTTTCTCTATTCTTATATATTAGTATTCTATTCATTTATTTATAGATTTAAATATTGTACATATTTCTTAAGTCTATTATCTTAAAATTTTAAGTCAAATATGACATATGACTGAGCCATTGATGTAAATGTTTTTAATATAACCCAAGTCGTCATGTATATAAAGTAGTTTTCCCCAAAATCGGTCTTGGTCTTGAACTTTGCAAGACCAAGACCAAGGCCACCTAGCTGTTGCAAGACCAATACCAGGATTGGTAAAAAAAATCGATTTTTAAAATAAAAAATTAAGGCAAAATACTTGAGAATTAGTTACTAATACTTGACAATCTTAGTTACTATAGTTAATAATTGGTATAACCAATATACTTTTGCATTTAACTCCTCAAATTTTTTATTCGGCTTACTTAGGTTTCTCCTACCTAAAAGATTACAGTAATATCTCTATAGTAATAAGCTAATAAGTAACTGCAAGACCAATACCATGACAAGACTGAGTCTGCAAGACCAAGACTCGTTTCGGTCTCGCATTTGGGCAACTAATATAAAGTAAATTGAGTATACTTCCTAAATATTCGTAATATTAAATACTCGTTAATCTGTGCAAATAATTCGCAATATAAATTGGTCACGGAACAAATGACAAAATATTAACGACAAAATACTATGTATCACAAGATGGAAGAATAAATTTTAATTCTCAAAATAATTATAATCAACTAAGAAAAAGAAAATAAGCCTAATTTATGCCTTAAACCAACATTTTTGAAAATTAACCAACTTTTTTTTCTCGATTTTTGTTGAGAATTTATTAACCTTTCAAATAATTATTTGTGCAATCATCAAAGAAATGTATAATTTTTGAGTTGTTCATCAAAGAACACCTTTCACAAATAAAATATAAAGTTAAAAATATATATTTCTAAAATGTTGTTCTATTTTCACTTAATAATTTTTAAAAATTATACTTGAGCTGGTTAATTAATGTGCATATCATTTGTTTGAGTAATACTCGTATATATACGAACGAAATATATATATGTATATATTTACGAAATAGATAAATTTAGAACCAAAAGGTGTTATTTTAACCTCATCATATTTTACCATTTCGTACTTATTTAAAAATCTATGAATACATATTTCAACTCTTTCTGAGTTTCCTTTGCTGGAGTACAAGTTCTTGACTACAATGTTTTTATAAACTTTTAATTTTTTTTCTTTATGAATATTTGTTAGAATCGACTGATATAACATGACAAAATCGAAATATTAATCAAACTTCTGATGATTTATAAAGTTAAAACAAAACTTGTTTTTGAATTTGTGGTTAGATATTTAAACTGCTACCAGTAGGTAGTTTCTCAACAAGTGTTTTCATATTTTTATTTTCTGTTATCACATTTACTGAATGTATTCTTTCTCTATCTATTCGTTGGGAATTTATTAACCTTTCTAATAATTATTTATGCAATCATCAAAGAAATATGTAATTTTTGAGTTATTCATAAAAAAAAACACCTTTCAGAAATAAAATATAAGTTAAAATTATATATTTCTAAAATTATGTTCTATTTTTACCGAATACTTCTTAAGAATTATAGATAAGCTGGTTAAATAAAGTGCATATCATTTGCTTGAATTATACACCTGTATATAAGAGTATATATTTATCTTTAAAATATATTTACGAAATAGTTAAATTTAGAACCAAAAGGTGTCATTTTAACCTCATCATATTTTACCATTTCGTACTTATTTATTCCTTATTTAAAAATCTATGAACATATATTTTTTAGTTTCCTTTGCTGGAGTACAAGGTCTTAAGTACAATTTTTTTATAAACGTTTAAGTTTTTTTCTTTATGAATATTTTTTAGAATCGACTGATATAACATGACAAAATCTATATATTAATCAAACTTCTGAAGATTTATAACGTTAAAACAAAACTTGTTTTTGAATATAGGGTTAGATATGGTTCGAATTGAGCGTGCATGGATTAAATAAAGTAATTTAAAAGAAATTAAGTATGAGTAAACATGTAAGAGAATGAGGACAAATAATATAACAGACAGATAAGAGTTGGTTTATTTTTAATATGTTTTAACGTTTTGGGCAACTTCGAAATCCTTTTACATGGTTGTTTCTCGACCAATGTGAGTTCATCGAACTAGTCGAAAAACTTCACCATGTAAAAAGACCTTAAAAAGTTTATTTATTCTGTCTGCGAAAAATATTCACAGGAAGTAATAGAATATATATCTTCTGCTTACAGTTTTCCATAACGTCACTGGTGACCGATCTATTCCTATGTACTTAAATATATACTGTATATACCTAAGTGAATATAAATATATATTACCATATATCACAATCATAAATATATAATTATAAATAAATAATTACAATTATTATAAGTTCAGAAATTTAATTAATTCCAAAGAATGACCTTTCGAATTCAGCTTCAGTATTTTAATTATGCCTTTTGCACTGAATATATTTATGGGTTCAAATGCCTCCACCTCCAAACCGGTACTTTATCTTTTCCCACTTTTTCTTTTCTTTTATTTTATCGTCAAGGACTTCAAGGTGAATTTCTTCGGAAAGCAGACATGCATAAGAAATAAACTCGAGGAGAATATTAATGTATGCGAAAAGTCTTTGTTCACTTTACACAAATATCCTGACTATTTTATCCACAATTAAATTATTAATTAAAAGTTACAAAACAATAAGTTTTTACTTTTACATAACTACCTATATTTATATAATTTACAGTCAGGAAGAGAAAATATTGCCATCCCATGGGTCCAAATTACCAAGTCACACAAAATGGTGTGTTTGTGGAAATATCAAAAAAGTCTAGATAAAAAACGAAAATTCATAACAAAATGAAATTACCTATT